TAGTCGACTTCTTCGACGAGATAGTTCATCATCCGTGGCGGGCGCGGTGCGCGGTTGGGAGAAGACATCGCGTCTGTGTTCGTGGTCGCGTGACCCTGTCGCTAACAATGTGCTGCGCGGTACTTGATTAACGAGAGCTTGAGATGCGCTTCCCTTAAAGCCGCGGACGTGCTGTCTGAAGTTGCACCGCGTACAGGAGACGAACAAGGGCTCTGCCCACGGGCGTACTCATGCCAGCGAGGCTGGATGTCCTCTTTCGTGTCCTCGACAAAGAGATCATTAAGCAGAGAATTTTTGAAGAGTGTCCGATAATGTTGTGGTGTCTTAGACACGCGATCTTCGTTCGAGGCGACAGTTGAATGTAACTATAGGTGTTCACAATCTGAATGGGGGGGAGTGTAACGGGGTTTCACGTGCCCTGGTATGAAGGGCATAGGTCACACAAGGTGGTGTGACCACACAATGGTGTTGCTACACTTAAACAAGAAGTCAGTATGTGACTTGACTGACAGTATCTATACATTTTAATTGGTTTACTCTATAAGGAAGGAAACCCTAGATTTAGATATAGGTGGCTTAGCCGCAATTTATACCAAGATATACAGTTTACGTTTTAAACCAAAGAATTAATTAGCCTTGGGATAAGGTTTTGATTACTCTTGGAGTGAGCGTATTGTGATCCGCTACACTCGCACTGGTTCTAAGATTATAACGAAGGTCACCGACCGGAACCAAGTTTTCACTAAGGGGAAGAGCTACCGTAGCCTTGCCGCAACATGAATCAGATGTACAGGAGTGTATGTTAGAAAATGTGATGGACTACGCTTCACCATCACATGAAGGGTTGTATGTATTGTGGGAATTAATCAAAGAAAATTACAGTTTGGTGCTACTAAATACATACATGATTTCTTATATGAAATCACAAATATTCTTTGTGAAACAAAATGCTGGTTTCAACTAGGGGATCTATATTGGTAACGAGACCGACGTGTCTCAGTCTTTAGAAGGGGGTGGCGCAAGCCGGTTGCTTCTACTGGATACTTTCCACGAAAGTTGAAGCTCAAGCTTTCGAAATGGTGGCGTAAGCCAGACCCTTCTACTGAATACCTTCCACGTAGTTGAACTTCATGCTTTTGAGGTTCAAGCTCCGTACACCCAAGAGCTTTTATTAGTTGAACATGAGGTCTAACCTCAGTATATAAATCAGGAACCGACAATTTTATTAGTTTAGACCCCTAGAAGCCCTTGGGGTGTTTTGAATGTAGCTAGGAACCATAATTCATTCTAATTCAGTTGCAAATTAACCTTTCAAATATGAAGTCGTTTTTCTTGCTTCCAAATCGGGACTGTCCTTCTCCCTCCATGTCGGGAATCGCTTTCTCGTCGCACAAGCATGTGTGATGTGTTTGAGGAACGGTTTGTGAACAGCGCTTTCTTATACCTGGTAGCACTTAGAGCTGTCTTCCAACGACACTCGATTATGATTCGACGACGCGGCTGTTGAGCACACCGCGCATTCCAGTCCAAGCCATAATCTTGTCCTTGACCGAGTGACATGGAAGGATTTGGGGTACCACTCGGACCATCAATACCGCAAACTGAGGTGATGACGAATTAGATGTTTTCTCATTTGTCTTCACATAAGTGGATGGCACTCGAGCAGATGCGAAAAGTCATCGGAGAAGCTGCAGTTATCAGCCCACTGTAGTCGTCTTCTCCGGATTATGAGAAGAACGCAGCCGTCAGTTTCATGCATCATGAGATTATGGAATCTCGTAAGCGGATTACAACCCCTGTTTCATCGTATGCAGCAATCACTGCAAGACAACTGCGAGACCCCTTGCAGCAATTGTTGTTCGCAATGTATTCGACAATACCCGCCTGGTAACTGAGAAAAGCTCCTGTTCATGCGATTGCCAAACACGATAAGCTGAGTGGTTATGTCATCGGTTGTGCGTTGATGCAACACGATGATGAGGATGAGGGTCAAGAGCGAGTTGTTTCGTATCAGTCGCGACAACTCCGACCCGCGAAACGGAACTATCCAGTTCATGACAAAGAGCTTTTAGCAGTGAAGTATGCTTGTATTAAGTTCCATGTGTACTTGCTTGGGGGAACGCTTTGCGATCTATACAGATCATGCCTCACTACGTATGGCAGTTAAGGCTCCTTATTTATCGCAAAAAATGGGTCCATGGTTTTCCTTCTTTGCGGAGTACAACTGTGTTGTATACTACAAGCCAGGCAAGATAAACATCTAGCTGATGTGCTGTCAAGACGTCCGGACTATGATCCATAGTCCAGAAGCAAAAACATGCACGAGTCATGTCACTATTCGAAGATGTTCAGACAATCAGTGTGCAATCTACGACTTAAGTGCGCGAAGAAGTTGTCGAAGGGTACAAGTCTGTAAGACATGTCAGGACTTGCTGACGTATTTCAATAATCCAACTGACAAAGCACTGCAAGGTCTCCCGTCTCGCAAAGATCGCGTGTTCACCGTTTTGGAGTTCACAACGGATTTTTGTACTATTTGGTTGAACATGGGGAACAGCACGAGTTGTTGTTTAAATGACAAAGGTTTGCGGCATCGTCTCTTGTATGAGTACCATGTCGGCCTTCGTGTGGCCATCTCAAACGTGAGAAAATGTTTCTCAGTCTTTTCGGGATTACTATTGGCCACACATGTATAAGTGGGAGCGCAAGTATGTGAGAGCTAGTGAGATTTGCCTGAGAGTGAAACTACCGAGTTCCACTCAAACCCCCACTTCGGTCGCTGGTAGTGCCAACTGACAGTTGGGAGTCTCTGAGTATGGGCGTCATATCTAGACTTCCGCGTGGCACACATAAACGCAGTGGCGTCCTTGTGTTAGTGGACCAATTCAGCAAGATGGCTCACCTTGCGCCTGTTTCGGACCAGGTCTCTGCCAAGAAGACAGCTAAGCCTACTCTACCTTTATTAGATGATCGAGCTGATCATGAAGTTTCTCCATTTGTCCGCGAAGAGCAACCAAACTCACCACGGAGTACTTTGAGAACAGAGCCAGTCTCTTCAACTGAGCGCAACAGGTGTTCGTGAGCCATCTCACGAGATTTCTGGTCCATCCGGAGTCGACGAAGTTCATCATAAACGTGCTGAAACTGTACTTCAAAATGGGACTCCAAAGCCGAGCATTGGGCGGAGTCATCAGTCTGAGCGTCGAGTTTCGAGTTCTGTTGTGCTCTGCAACAAGGTTTGAAAGCCTCTCGCAGCGATCTTCCAGCGTCGACCAACGCTGCCGCAATGCCTCAATTTGCCCGCGATGAGCGCTTTTCCACTTCCAGAGTCACTTAATCTTTTCACGTTCCGCCCAAACTCCGCTATCAGACTCTCGTGGAGATCGTCGTTTGGTGATCGAGACGATAGTAGATCACAGGGATCAATCGACTTGTCATCTTCGAAAGAAGCAACTGATTAATCAACGCCTCTACAGAGTTCGTTGGCGCGGCTATCCATCGGACTCGGACATGTGGGAACCTCGTCAGACCCTGATGCTCCGAAGTGGTCCGCAGCTACGAGAATCGCTTGCAGTGTTGCTCGAGGCAACACTACGACGACTAGAGCTTGATCGTGCTTGGTAGTGACTAGGAGTCCTGCCAGCGCCGACTCGGCGAAGCAAACGTTTCATTTCGTTGTCGTTCTCAAGGTGAACAAATGTCGGCCAAGAGCCAATCTTAGCGATGGGCTAGGGTGGATCATCACGGTTCTTAGTCCGACACCAACGAAAGAACCGTTTCATGTAGAACCTCTTGTGTCCATTTCGGTTGTTCGGTTGAAAATGGAGGAAACGTTAAAGAATTCTGGAACCTTACTTCGCCGTTTAGGCGAAGAACGCTTTTTCATGTTGGCTTGTTCACTTCTTCATTGTTGTTCAGAAAATGAGCTACCACAAAAGGGGTTGTGGGACGGAAGGAGTCGTTTCTGAGTTTGCCACTATCAATAAGTCGAGAGTCTCATCCAATGGACAGATCTAGACAGCTCACTCTGATCCTCAACATGATGGAAAGGCTCGAAAATGTCTGCCCTCGTGATAGATACATTTGAATAGGAGCAACTCTCACTTATTACGCATGCTATAAATTTGAAATGGCCCGCAGTATCGATTTGACATCACTTTTCATCGTTGTGAAATATGATTACTGCAAATTTTGAAAATGGCCGGGTAACCAAACTGGATATGCGTTGGTGACAACGAAACGTTCCATATATTACAGCCAGTACCGCAACACCTTCTACACGCTTATGACAACAAAGAATTTGGACTATACATTAGGGGACACAACCAAGCATTGCGCCCACGTCTACTGGTGCATCTTACTCAAATAGCTCCGGATTATCAGACAATTGTCTAGATGAGAGCGTTGCGATGCATCATGGAGTATGAACACACCATATTTGAAGTGCCCTGTGTCATTATTTGAGCTTATTTCTTTCATATCGTGACGAATCTACAGGTGTATAAGGTTTCTCAAAGTTTACGCAGACATAGTTCGTAGAAACAGTTATGCAGCCCCGGGCTGAGATGCAAAGATATATCTCGATCCTGTCGCGCTTTGGATAATGAAAGTGTAATTCATCAAAAATTTCTTTGTGTATCAGTTCTGGTCATTTGGTCAGCAGAAAAAGAACATACATTAGCAAAGATTGTCGGATTTGACCCTCTGCAATATCCGATCCGTTTACCTATTGGTGGATTAAATAGCCTTTTAAATATATAATAAAAAGGGGAAGCGTGATGTGTCACTACAGGGCAAGCTATCCATCTTAGACAATATTTCGTGAACGAAATAGGTAGACAGATAATAATCCCCGTATCTCATTCAGATCTTTAGTCGGACGTACGTGTCGTACCAATATTCCATGGCACTAGTAAGAAGATAGGGGAAGTAGTTGCTTTTGATAGGTGATATGTAACCGTACGTGGAGCGAGATGACAAGGTTGGTTTCGCGCTCAAAACCGTCCAGATAGATTGCTTTGTGTTTGGCAACAAAATCAGGAGCAATCCAAAATACCTGCATGACTATACTAGGTTGCATTGTGGCGAGAATCTATACTATATATGTTGTAATATTTCAAAAACGAGGAATTAGGGACGCTCACGTACTGATCATTTTGTCTGAAGTTGCCAGATAGCGCAGACAAGATATCATCAGCATGATATTTTCAGTTGAGCTCCAGAACACATGAAACAATTCAAGTGTGTATGCAAAGGTCACGACTTGCGTCATACTTGCGGCTCGGTAAATCCAGTGTGATGACAGTTTGCCTTCATCAACCACTGTGGGAGTGAGTGCACTACAAGGCCGCTTGTTCACACGTCAATCTGCTCTTCACTTGTCACGCAGCGTATGTAACGACATTGTATTACACTTGTTTTCATTAGAAACAGTTTGCTTAAGCCGTGGCTTTTGTTTCCACACGCGGTGTCTAGCAAACTTTTTCATAGGTAAATACGTAGTCAATTCGATTAAACCGGTTAATGGGTATCACAGTTCTTTTCAGTGTAATGACAGTTTGTCTTCATCTACTACTGCGGGAGTGCACTACAAGGCTGCTTGTTTACACGTCAGTCTGATCTATACCTGTCACGTAGCGTATGTTACTACATTCTGTTGAAGACCTGTTGCCGAAAGTAATGATTTCCTGTAGCCATTGCTTTTGCTCCGAAACGCTATGTCTAGCTTACTCTATCATACGTAAGCACGTCGTCAATTCCATTAAAGCGTTCAATGGGTATCACAGTTCTTGTCAGGGTAATGACAGTTTGTCTTCATACACTGTGGGTGTGCACTACAAGGATGCTTGTTTAAACGTCAGTCTGATCTATACCTGTCACGCAGCGTATGTAACGACATTGTATTGAACAATTGTTGTCATTAGAAAG